GCTACCCCACCATACGTTCTTACAGATTCTCAGAGAGTGAAGTGACAAACCCAACAGCAGTCTACAGCAAGCATATAAAAAGGTTATGAAGAAACTATCATTGGCAATGCTTACCACTTAATTGAATCACCATGTTGCAATAAAAATATGTATGAATTACAGAAAACTATTATTAAAAAATAAAAGGCCAGACAGGCTTGACATTAGCAAACCAGTGATATAAATACTCTTTCCACCAAATGAAGCAAAATAAAGATCAAAGCCTAGTGTGTGCTGAAGAACAGCTGAGAAGAATCTTTATTTATTACAGAGATCTTATTAAAGGTCTAATCTTGCAAGGTGGTCAACAAACATACTTTCCTTGAACGAGTTCCTAACATTTGGTCTGATCTTGCCTCAGCTGCAGAAGGAAGTTTTACAGTTATCTCACAGCAGTTTAAAGTGAGTTATACTTGCAAAAAGAAATTCTGTCATTAAAGCAGATAGTTGTACATTTGCTTGATGTATATAGGGCATGGTTGTGAAATTCACATGAATCTTTATCTTGGCTAGGCTGAATTTGGGCCCTAACATAGGGCTGAGTAATTACTGCAGAAGAACCCAATTGGTTTCTACTGCTTTGGGTGCTTTTCAGATTCCTCTCCATGAGACAAATCATCTAGCAATAAAATAAACAGTGGAAGTAAAGCTTTCTGCTGGGGTAAAGAGCTAGGTCAGCGCAGCAAAGATTCCAGCAGGAAGGCATGCAGAAGACAAAGTGGTGAGACTGCAAGGAAGGGAGGAAAGGAAAATTAAACCTTTCCCCCTTCAACAGCAGTGAGCTGTTAGATCAGCTTAATTCCCCGTCGAACCACAGCCCAGAGGTCAGGCTGACCAGTCAGTACCTTTCCAAGCTCCACACTAGCTGTCTGCAGGATCATTGCATAATGCCTAACCTACTTATAATAACTAGAAATTTTAATGCACCTAGCAGAAGAAACAGGGCAAACAAAGTTAAACAGAGAAAAAAAATGGGTAAAAACCCCTCACCACACTCAACTTTCTGAAATACGTCTAAAATTCTGTTCTCTGTGAAGCTGAGGATGCCAATTACCATTGACCTCATCTCTGGTACCCAAAACAATGGCGATATTTTAACTATAGAGACAAACATATGAAGTTCATTCTTTTTTGGAGAAAAAAAAAAAAAAAAAGAAAATATCTAAGACACCAACCAAACCTAATCTAACACACTAACAAAACCACGGACATCATACAAAATATTTCCCCTTTTGCAAAGGGTGGTTGGGAAGGCAATTACAGTGTACTGAAACGGACCTAATTAGTGCACCTCGTTACAGTCATAAATGAAAATGTAGAAATCAAACTATTTTATACTTTAAAAAAACAAAACACTTACAAGGATAGTACAAATTACTTTAAAATAAGCCATGTTTAAAAGTAGTTGGTTTCTCAAATTGAATTGTTTATAGTATATTTAGTTTCTTACTAAATAAAGCTAGAAATAAGATCTTAAACTAGAAATTCATCATAGCATGATTTTTAGAAGAGAGACCTTTATGTCTCAATTTAAAAAATTCTTACTAGACTCAATGATAAGTTTTCACTTTACAAAAGAATAAGAAGATAAATGTTGCTGTTTCAATTGAGATTAAAACATTAATTTTAACAATCTGCCAACTTTACCCCCTTTGCTACATCTTCTTTTGGATGATTTCCAAATCTTTCTTTTTTAAAAATCCATTGATTTAAAGATGTTGTCAGCTATTCTAAGGTTTAAATCTATCTATTTTTATACCAAGATCTAATTTCTTGTATAGATCTACATCTTGTTTTCCTTAAGGAAAAATGAGGAGGAAAAATATTTATATCACTGGAAGAATGATAGCCATTAGCATTTTCTTTCAGAAATCTGACACATTATTTATTAAAAGTCAATACAAATTCTGTCATTGATCTTGAACAAGTTACTACTGGAGTCTCTGTTCATTTGTAAGAAATTAATACAGAATCAGTGAAACAAAGCACTACTTTGCTCAGAATGGGCCTAAATATCTCCTGAAAAAGTAAAAAAAACCCTGACAAAAACACAATGAAACTTCTCCAGTTTAATATAAAGTTCCCAGATTGCCCTAGCTTATGATGCATAGCATTTATTGTTGTTTTATATACAATGTTTTAATGAAAAGACAGTATTACTTAATTCAGTTCTAATTTACTGATATCTAACAAGTAACCTCTAGGGGGAAAAAGATACATAGATAACTTCTCACAACACAGTTCACTGAAACATGAAAGTTCAGAGCAGTGTAAGCTGAAAAGTACATAAGAAGGAGCATCAGCTCTTTTAGAGCTGAAATCAGGAAGCCATACTGGTTTGCAACCAGTACAAATGAAAAGTTTCAGATCCAGTTTTTTGAGTCAGGAAATTTACTGATTTCAGTACATATTTGTTTATATGCTGATTTTACTTCTCACAAGTAATGCTTCTTTGTTCATTTTAGTTCAATATGCCTGAGACAACATTTAAAACCTCTCAGACTGCTACAAAAGCGTTATTTACCCATATTGCGCTTAGGTTTCAAGTGCTGAGAATTAAACTACCATAAAATCCGCTTTCTTTTTATATATATTCTTAGTCAGCACAAGGATTCAATGAAGGATGAGAGTCAAATGTGCTTTATTTAGATTTCTAAACCTTTGTTTTGCAAGAGAATTTAGACAATATAGTGGGGGGAGAAAAGGGGAGCAGTTTTGATATAATTCTTATTCTTTGTGATCAATTCAATTTTAAAAACAGAGCAGAATTAAAATTCAACTTATTCTTCAAGGGGTTTTTTACTATTTTACTAATTAAACACCCTCTGCTCAACTGAATTATATAACTCAACTTTAACAACAATATATGAAGAGGTTGGGTAAATAGAATGGGTAAAAAAACCATAAACCTATGCTTTGTATTTTTTCAGAAACTCATCTGCTATTCTGAGGACAAAAATAAACTTTCCTTTTCAAAAATAGCCTTCAAGAGCCAACATAGCAAGTGAGTGAAGTACAAGAATGCAAAGGATTTCAGCTTGTCAACAGATGAAATTTAAGTGAAAAAACCCATCCCCCAGAACAGGGTTCTCAAGGCTACGGTGACAAGGCTTACAGCACACCTCTCGCTGAGGCAGGATTATAGGAATGCTTCCAAAAGCCAGATTACAAGGGAAATAGGGAAGTTTATACACGGCATTAGGGAATTTGCACTTCATTTTAAATGTAAGTGATAACTCAGAGAATATCACATCACCCCACCCCTTGATCAGGAAGGATCAAAGTCCAAATACTCGTCTGCTCTCCAGTATCAGTGTTCAAGAAGAAAATGGAAGTTTATTAGAAGAGTGAGGAGACAACAATGAGGGGTGGTTTGCAAAGACTGAAGCTCATGTTGTTGTAGAGAAACCTTCAAGGCACAAGGCAAAGCATGACTCAGCCATAACCAAATGCAGCAAGATCTGTCTAATGCACTAATTCAGATGCCAAAACTATTCATATTAAAAATGTTGGCTTCAGAAATATTTTAGGGGAAGATGTGAAAGTGTCTTCTAAGGAAGGTCTACAGCCATGTTTCCAAAGAGGAATGGAAAACAAGGGAGACATGAAAGACATTGGATAGGCCTTTAAAAACACTAGATGAAAACAAAGGGGAGGAAAGGGGTAAAATGCACTTTGTTCATTGATAGGGAGTTAATTTATGCAAAAAAGTACCCTACTGCCAGCATCGGTTAACTATAATTAGAACTACATGTTAGAAATTAATCCAACACATATAACCCACCTTCATAATGCTATGTCCTTATCATTTCTAGGGTATTTAAGCACTTAATTCCTTAAGAGTTCTTTTAAAATTTCTAATACAGTGACAGCAAATACAAAAAGCCCCTACACTTATATTTCCTCATACAGCTGGATGCCTAAACAAATATGTTGTCTTCCAGTCCAGAGACAAATATATGCAGCTGGTCAGATAGTGAAGCTCAGTTTCACCCTAGAGGAAGGATTAATGGATCTGATAAACTCATTCTCTAGGAAGGAAAAAAGCTGCTTCCAGACTGTCAGTGAATTCACAGTTGGATGATATAAGGTAGCACTGGCTGTTATTGGCTGCTAAATTACTTAGCTGTATTAGTTGCCACGCATGGGATGCCACAACAGTGAAAATTGAGATGGGTGGGATGAAGAACAAACATAATTACTTGAGCATCAGGACTTCATCAGGCTGCAGACTGAGTCACCACCACCACAACATTATATAGGAGTACAAATTCTGTGCGCTCATCACTATTAAGGAAGCAAGACATCAGAATTATTTGTTCTTACAAACAGTTATTAGAAGATTTAGGATTTAATAGCGAGCAAACCTGCAGACTAAAATGACCATCACAATTAAAATAGTGCTTTTTGCATATGATTGCATGTCAAAGAATTTTGTCCTTTGGAAATTACAGTATGAAGGTCAAAAGTATAAGGTCTTCAAAGCAAGAGGGTATTTTCTTTACTTGGCTCTTTAGTGGCATAAAATTTCCCAGTGTAAACTTGTTCCCAGATGCAAGCAGCTGCTACACATGGATTTGTCCAGGAAACACGTGGTTAGAAATATACACTCCTAATTTTAGCGAAGATTAATATTTTAAGGCCATCCTGAGTGAAATCAGAACACAAATGTTAAAACTGGCTTCTGTTCAGGCATATACAACATGACAAGCAGTTGCTTACTCTAGGACTGCAGAGGAAGCTTTTAGGACCATGCATATTTCAGTGTTTGCTTTCCTGATACTTTGCAAAATTCTAGTTGTATGGCTTACCTCAAATACTGGAGGGTGGGCAAGGGAATGCTAACTGTTATCTGTTATCCACAACTTTCAATCTAGATTAAACCAAATTAGTAACCAGGAACTTCAGATGAGCATGGAGCCAGGAAATAAGAACATGAAATGAAGACAGATTCCACTTACAATTAACTCTTGAATAAGTGAAACAGAAAGTATCCTCTTGACGCCATTTTCCGTAATTACTCCAAGCCAATTAAGTGCACCCCAGTACCACAGATAACTCTGTCCTCCATGCCAATAGCTTACAAAGGCAAAAGTGAGGGCTGTGGAAAAGAGTGTTCCCAGCAGACTGGACTGAGATCCTCCCATCGGAACATAAATGTACCTGTAGGTGAAATGACAGATAAGCAACGTTATTAGAGATTTCACAGAAATCTCAGAAAAACATCCACTACAGAACAAATTTTTTATTTTTTGGCATAAAAAAGAGTTTGAATAATTACCCGACATTCTCTATTTACAGAGCTTGCCCTGGTTTCTGAAAAGCTGTACGCTACTTCATGCAGTATGTGCATATACCATTTGGCAAGAAGATAATTTTGTGGTCATGGGAACTCTGCATTAGGCAAATATACAGCATAAACTATATTCTCAAAATTGCTGAAGTCAAATATTCAGGTTTTTTTAAACTGCAGTAGTTGTAAGTCAACTTATATACACAGAAATGACATGTAATCTTCATGTGAATTTAAATTATAAGACTCAAAAAAATTTAAAACATTATATAAAGGCATACATAGTCAGAACCCATAGAATGTTTTCCATTTGTCAAAATGTAGACACATGCAAACATGTTTTATTTTTAAAAGCTTATAATTTCTTTCTTTTTAAATCTTTCATTAAAAATTACATGAACTGAAAATATTTCCTATCTGGTTCTTGTATTATACTCTCAGGATCATGTCTGCCTAATGACCTTCAGAGCACACGTACCAAAAAACTCCCCAAAGCCTATATGAAGGACCCTGCATGCAATGATATTCTGTATTTAAACTGAATCCAGGAGTCAGAACCTTAGTCTTTAATTGATGCTTATAAGTGTCCAGAAAGCAGTGCTTGTTCAGTAAAAATACCAGAAGCAATGGGATTCTGAAAACTGACACTGTTTTCTGGGTCACTTCACTTCCTTCCTGCCTAGAGAGTTACACCCACTCCTGGCATTTTCCAAGTCAGGCATGGCCAGTGGCCAGCCTTTATCTGAAAAAGGCACCTATTCCTGTCAACACTTTGAAGAAGCTCATCAGGCAACAGAGTCACCATCCAGTTCATGGGTACCAGTGAGGAGAAGTGGTATATGAGAACTGCCGGTGACAGTTCTCCTCAGCTGTCATTCCTTCGACATGACACACTGTACTCATATTTGAGACCATTCCTACTTGCAAAGATAATTCACAGAAATTTTTTGCAGTGAAGTTTTTCTCTCTGGTGATCAGTTTTTACATTCAGAGATAAATACTAGCTTAAAGATTTTAAAGGGAAATTAACATAATGCTTTATTCCTAATCCTAGGAAGTAAGAAAACACGGTAATGGGGTAACATAAACTGATGAAAGTAATTAAATGGTAAACAGAAAAGTGGTTAAAATAACAACTGTCAAATGCTCCAAATTCTCTCTAAGCATAACATCAATACACCTTTTTACTTCAACCTGCTACAGGAAACATCCGATTACATTTGTAGTAACTTTCAGTATAAGTGTGCTTTTTACTAAGCATATGAAAATAAACAGAAATTAAGAGCAATAGTTTTTATTTACTTTTTTTTTTCTTCTCTCTCCCCTTTCTATGTTTTTCTTGGGTCTAGTCTTTTCTCCTCACATATATAAAGAAATAGCGCGGCAGTAATGGATACTTGCAATTGCAATCAATTAGTCTAATAGCAGAGAAGTACATCTTGGCAGTCTGTAACCTGGGGGATCCCCTGCAGGGCTCTGGCACAGAGGGTGAGGAGAGCAGAGCCACAGACCCCACTGCTTCGGAAAAATTCCTTCTACGCAAAAGAGTACAGAAATGAAAGACCAAAGCAGATCATCCTTTCTTAGGGCATACTTTCCCAACACCCTCCCTCTGCCTTTTTAAAGGCTGATTGCTGTATGTTTTTAGGCAGGGCCCATTGTCATTACCAGTTTCCCTGGCAGGCTGGCTGGAGGAGGGCTGGCAGCCCTGCTCTGCAGCCGACAAACCGCAATGCTGAGAGCAGCACCTCCGTGCCCCTGTCAGCACGGCAGTACCTTGTTTTGCAAAGCTTCACCCAGAGGAGCCTGAAACAGGATATTGCCAGCCCCGCCACTCTCAGCAATGCTCACTCTGGCGTACATTTACTGAAGCAGCATTTAAAAGTAACCCAGACACCATCAGAGACACATCTCCGTGACGAGACCTTACTCTAAGCCCTAAGGAAACATTTCTGCTGACCTTATAGGGTCCTGGGTTGAATCCACGGCACAAAAGGTAGCTTTTACTGCAGAAGTAGCTCTGGGTTTCCATACAGTCCCTTTCCCTGCACTGAGACAGACCTGTTGTATAGGCATCAGCCATCTTGTCAGCACCGGCAGCCTCTATGGGCACCCGCATTGCCAGGAATTGCCCAGCAGCACCAGCTTGTTCATTTGCAATCGCAGCTCAGTTTAGTTTGGCCTGAACGGCTTTCAGATTACTGTGCAGAAAAAACAGGCTATTTTCTGATTTTTAGTGTTTAACAGCAGCAGCTAGATAATTGAGCAGCAATAACTCATAATTCTGATGAATGTTCAGGGCCAGTGAAGTTTTAGCTCCTAGTGAGGCCCATGGCAATTGTGCAACTGAAAATGGACTTGTGTTATCTTTGTGAAGACCTACCTGAAGAAGGACAGAAACCAAAAGGAGCCACATAATCTTTAGTAACCCTTCTACCTTCCCCTCCAGTACTGTGGAGAGTCTGCCTCCTTGCCCAGAGGAGAAATGCAAAGCAAAAAGCAACACCTCTTTCCTTCCCTGCTAGCTACCATAAGAAAACAGAAAGAAGGCTGGCTGCCATTTTTTGTCACGAGGGCATTAACTGCCCTTAGACTGCATGGTCTTGCCTTCCCTTGTCAGGGCGTTCCCGCTGGCAATTTTAAAGTAAGTATAAAGGACTGATGGATGTCGAGTCATTTCTCTCAAACAGTGTGAAGAGCAATTCTGTATGTTCCTGTGTTTTTTTGTGCAGAAAAATTCGTGAAAAATCCATTATTACATTACAGACACACCAGGAAAAAAAGAAATATTTGCTACCTCATCATCCATGTGCACATCATATCCACGTGCATACACTCTTAAACTGGCAGGCCTGCGTACAAGCAATAGGCAACTCAGATCCAGCCGGGGCAGATCCTGGCTCCATGCCAGGCACTTTGTCCTCTCTGATATAACCAAAATTGTCTCGCAAAAGAACCACCACAAGAGCCCTCATCATTGCAAAAATGCATTTTGCTTATTTTTGAGCATCGTGGTAGTTTAGAATCTAATTTCCCAATACTTTCCATGTGTATTTACACAGAAAAGTACTCATTTGATTACAGAAAGCTACATTTACACTGAAGTGTGAGGGAGAATAAACCAGTGAATAGTATTATTAAGCCAGACGATAGAAGAAACATATTACTTCTGTATTATCATTTACAACACAAACACACACTTCGTAACTAACGATTTGTTGTGGTTTAACCCTGGCCAACAGCTAAGCCCCACACAGCCTCTCTCTCGCTCCCCGCAGCAGTATGGGGAAGGAAAGGAGCCTCTTCCAGTACATTAGGGAAGTTGTTCTGTCCTCCAGTTCACTAACAAAATCCATGAGGAGGGAAGGAGGGAGGCAAGGAGAGAGAGAGATTAAGGGGAAATGGCTACTACAATTTGATGTCTTGCATATCTGCATGCTTCCCAACTTTTTTCCTTCTTACCAATACTACCGTTTACCTGCAATCTATCCTACAAGGCCCTCTGTACTGCGATTAGAAACTCAGGATTTACACAGACGGAGAGGTTGCTGTACAGCATGCTGATCTGCTGCGCCATATGCAGAATAGCATTATATAAATATCTCATTTTAAGCTTCCATGCAGCTTTTAAGACTATTCCCATCTCTAATCACAGAAAATCCACAAAGAAGCTCAAAACCCCCAGTTCAGGGACTACTAGCACATAAAAGTAATCATGGGTCCTCATGGCAGACTAACACAACTCAAAGGAACACCCTCATAGCAGAATTTCTTAATAGCTCATAAGCAGGTTACACATTTACCGTAGATGGGCAAGGAAGGCAGACTTAGCTGAAAAACATAGTGCTAACGTGCAACAACTTCATCTTAATTCACATACTCACAGAAAAAGAAAACTCAACAGTTATTTGGCGTCAGTGAGCCAGACAGATAAATGAAGGAAAGCAACAAAGTATTTTGCAAAGAGAAAAGGATATTAAGGCAAGTAGATTTGAGGACAGTAATTGGTCATGTCCCTCCAGGTTATTTTAGAGGGATGGGTAATACTGGTCACCCTTAAGATCCATGAAAATTACAGCCAGGAAGATTAGACCTGTGGAAAATGCTTAGTATCAAAAAATGCAGGCTCGGTCAGTATTTGAAAATAAAACATCAGCTTAGGGGATCAAACATCAATCCCTGCCAAACTTCAAAGTTGGAATTTGAAGGTGAAAGAACAGAGAAGATTTCTAGGCAGGCTGTCAAAGACGAGCTCGTGAATGCCACAGGCCAGGCTTTGCCAACCATTCCTAGACTGGCTAGACCTCTCTTAATGACAACAAGGAAAAGCACTTCATTTTGTCAGAAGAAAAAGTTGTGCATATTAGTTGGAGAGAAGAGAAGGGGGAAGAGAACTCCATGTAGATTAAATATCCCAAAACATCTGCAGGGGCATTTGAGGCACATAAATACAAATAAATATTGAGAGAATGTTATATAGAAAAAATTATTTGAACACACCCCTGACATGACTAAACATACATTCTTAGCCTTCCCCTCCCAAGCCAAAGATGCTGTGTATGTGTCTTCTGAACAACCAAGTGCCTTACTTTTAGTCCCACTTACAGTTGCTTAAATCAGCTTATCTACAGCCAGCAAGCTGTTCCATTTACACAACTTATCTTAATTTTAACTCACTAAGTGAACATTAGAGAATTGGATAAAATATGTAAATGGTACCATTTAAATCCCTAAAGTAATGCAAACACAAACATAATAGCTGAGGTATTTAAAAGTGACATTTGCTTACAGAGAATAACTTTTAAATCCAATACCCATTTTGTTAGTTTTCCTGAAGTGATAATCTACGGAACAATCATAAGAGTTCTGA